TTTGGATGTGCATGCGACCTTGAGAAAACGGTCTATTAAAAAGTCACAAGGAATAAAATATTTAATCATTTGCAAATTTAAAGCCGATGTAGACACAAAGTACATAAAGCTACGCTGCAGGGTCTTGATCTTTCCATCAATGGTTTCATCGATGTCAATTGTGAACACATTGTTAAAGAAATAAAAGGATTCAAAAATAATTATTCTCTCGCTCCCGAAAACACTAAAACCTCTTAACAATGGATCTCAAGGAAATTGTGGTTTCTTTTCTAGACTAATTAGACACCTGAATCTTTTCACTGTAAGAGTTGGGTGCGAATAAACACCCTTCTCCATGGCAACCATAATATAGTGTACTTAGAGTAGCACGAAATCCGAGAATCTTAAAAAGAACTGAGACAAGGAACAACGAGGTTATTTTATTACTSTAAAGTGCATAGTGATGTTTGAAGAAGCCAGGAGAGAAGCGATGGGGCTTCAATATTTYGCCTCAGACACTCGTAGAAAGCTTTTTATTTGCAACGATCGGAGAGAGTACAAGAATTTACGAGGAGAAGTACAAAAACTCGAAAAAAGAAAAGCAAATAATATGAAAAAGCATGATGATGAAATAAAAGACTGGAAGGAGATTCTGAAACAGCTTCAACATGAAAAAGAAGGTAGGGCTCTAGCTCGTTTTTTTTAACACGAAAGTTTTAGGAAAATTGGGAAAATACAAAATCTAAAAAATAGCTTAGCAACCATGGAGACATAAGACAACAAGGGTTCAAATCAAGCCAATCTCGTAGCCAGAGCCTACCTTTCTCCAGACCTGCAGCTAAGAGCAAGGGCTCTGGCATAATCCATTTTTTGGCGCATGCGCAATTTTCCAGAAGTGAAATATAATCAATCGAAAAATCTAAAAATCGAGAAAATTTACAATGGTTGCAAAAAGACCTCTTTTCCACTACGTTTTTTCTCCCGATCTCTGCATTTTATACTACTGAATTTTAGTAAAACGGAGGTTTCGAAAATTTCACCAGTGTTTTCTTTTCTCTCATCTTCTTCGTGTGTTTGAAGCTTGATGTTCTTTATTTTTCATGATTGCGCAGTACGAGTCTACCAGAGCGAAATCCTCTTATTTTCGTTATGAATAATGGATATGAATATTTCTTTAGGAGCAGAGAGTATACAATGTCTTATTGAAGTAAACAGAGAAACCTTSAAGTCATCCCTCACAACACGCAGAGAGAATGTCATCAAGAGTATACGACGCTCCCTCGCCCCACAGTCCACACAAGATTTCTCTCACAAACCCACGATTAACCATCAGCTTATTTCAAAGTCTCCATCAGTTCCACGGAAAGTAAAGTTGGAACTGTTGAAGCGGGAGCAAATCAGATTGAATGAGGTATGATAAATAAKTAAGTGATGAGATCAATAGATCTTTTCGGCTCGGGTGTAATGTTTTTCCCGGCATTCCAGACCATGTGTCGTTCTCTTTAGAATACGATTCTTTGTTTGAGTTGTATTCATATTCATGTGTCTTCTCATGTACAACCGCTTCACAAAGAAATGATTTACTCTAGGGAGTAACACGGGGTCTGAAATGGGAAAACATTAAGCCTTAACCGAGATCATCGCAATACATGCAATTCGAATGTTTCCAGTACCTTGCTGTACTTGTATATACACTTATTTCAATAAAGTTAGTCACCAAAAACCTAGAAAGCTGGGATCGCATCATTGGAARCTTTTCATATCAAAAAAGCATATATATACAAAGCTTTTTAAATACAAAYTGCAGCTCGATGATGCTCAGAAGAGGTGAGACTGTAACCGGTAAAAGATTCGCAAGTCCGTGAACAGTTATCAAGCGGTTGAACGTGTAAAATGAATCTACCCATAATCCTTGTCGGCCTCAGCTTTATAGCTTTTCAGGTGACTAACTTTATTGAAATAAGTGTATATTCCACTTGAGTTTTGAACATTTTCATGACGTCAACTTTATCTTCATCGTCTATCATATTCTCAGTAATAGTACGAAAGATGTAACGCTGCTTCAAGGTATTTGTCAATAAACCGAATCCAGTCAATCCACACATCGAACACCGTAACGGATACAATTCTTTTTTAGTAGRCATGGTACTTAACTTTTCTCTTGTCTTACATTAGAGGAATTCTAGTAACACTTTCTCTTGTTTATCATGTTTTATCTAATGTCATAACTTTGTRTTAGGAAAAATTAAGCATCAATGAAATCAAGCCAAGAAAGTATGAAAACACAAACGTGTTCTTGGATGATGCTGTCGCAACGTATGCAAAACTGAGAAGAGAAATAACGGCTGGACAAGAGAAACGGTAATACAAACGTTCATATTATTTTTATTGGTTGGGGCGCCTATTATTTCTTTACGTATKGAGCTGAATGGACCAGGAAGGTGGTTCATGAATAGACTTACTAGATACCTGATTACTTTTATACCCTTGCTCTAATGAGATAATATTTACTATCATTACATTATTAATACATTAATTACTTAATGGTCCACATCTTGTTGCAAAGCACGCATTATGGAAGATCATGGAAGACCACTACGGTTTATCGMGTCTTGTATGTGGATTCGCACATTTTCTTCGTAGTATTTCTATTTCGTATTTCGTATTTCTTTCCTTCCTCTTCCCTTTCTTTACCTTCGTTCTTTATTTCAGCTTTTCCTCCTTTCCTTTTTATTRCGCAACTGCATTGAATTTACCAAGTTCTCGTCCTATCTCATCCTATCAAATCTTTTAAGATTTGAGAGACGACTCACTTTACTACCATATTTATCCGTAACAAAAATATCTATACTAATATATATTTCTATTTATTGTTTTATAACTAAGGCCGGTTTTGTCGTCCACCCAAAAACTGAAATCCAAGAGTAGCAAAGAAACCGCGAGGCCTATAACCGTGCCGTATGGTTATCTTAAGGGACTTGGGACTAAAGAACTTGAGGATCCTTTGATTTCCAGAATAGAACGAAGTAAGACATTTGGAGGCTTTGAGCCAACTGCACAAAGGCACAGCTCGCCTCAGAGAACGAGTAAGAGAGACAAAGGACGTTTTACTTTCRATAACACTGAAGCAAGTGGTTTGAGAATAGTGGATGAAGGAAACGCTGTAAAAAATACACCAACGATAAACTACACAAGCAGAAAACACAAGAAACTGATTGAGTCACCTAAATTGGGAAAGAAAAAGTTAAACAATGCAACACCTAAGTTCGAAACAAATCGTTCAAAAAAAGAAAGTCAGGAAGAATCGGTTGTTAGTGATGGAGTGGTCAGAATGCCGAAGGTGCATTTTCCTTCACCATCTGAATATAAGYAAGATGTGAAAAAATTTAAAGAAAAGGAGCTCAAATCGTTAACAAAGGAAATTGATAAGATTAATGTTCGGGACAATAGCCAAGAAGCAGATCTACAGGAGGAAGAGAGGGAAGAGATGTTGTCCAAAAGCTGCACCTCGGACGAAGAAGAAACAACARCTAAAGATAATTTGACAAGTGTAGACAACAATTATACTCAAACAGGAGGAGGAAGAAGAGACAGAAGTTTGTCAGATAGCACCACTTTGTTGCCAATCAAAGACACGCAACCTGCCAGTTTACGAAGATTGAAAGCCAAAGGTTTGTTGAAGACAGACTTGCCACGSCCAAGAAGAGATTCAGAATCAAAAGTGGAACAAAGAA